TAATAATAATGTACAATATCCTATGTTTGCTCGAGAAGTTTAAGTCGATATCATGAAAAATAAGTCGAAATCTATTTATAAATTTGTACGAACTTTCTGTACAAAGTCAATAATAGTTAACACTTATAAAATATATTATAACATAAAACTCGATCACACACACAAGTCATTGAATAGGATTAAAAAAACAAAAAGAAAGGGAAAATAATTTGAAGAACGATTAATTATTTCTTGTTATTGATTATATTTATTTTTCTTACTGCATTATGATAACGACGACAATAATATCAAAAATAATCAAAGAAAATGAAATGTTTAGTTTCAGAAAATATTTCATTACGCGATTTAACTGTACTATTATATTATGGTGAAATTATTGAACCGGTTACGAGATTCTTTTTGTTTGTTTTTGGATTATTTTTCCAACCAAAATAATATGATTTGTTCTCGGTGTCGCGTTATCCAAGAAAAAAAGGATAAAAGAAACAAAAAAGCAAACGGGTAAGTCTTGTCTTTCGGACTCCTTACTAATCTTTGGTATATCTTGAAAAGATCTTCTCTCGTTTTAACTCAAGCTCGAATAAAAAAACCTTTTCTTTGTTACCGCGTCCGTTTCGTCTTATCATTTTATTCTTAATAACCGTATTTCTTTCCCTCGAAAAAAGACATTGCAGCGTAGCACAGAGAGTGCACATCGAGATCGTCGAATTCATTTTTCCGCGGTATAGAATCGTTCTTGTTGCCAAGGAATCCGGATAAAAAGGAAGTTGAAAAGAAATACGAAGAGAAAGAGAGAGAGAGAGAGAGAGAGAGAGGGAGAGAGGGAGTTCATTTTTGGCCCTCCTTTTCCGGAACATCGATTGGCGTATTTCCAGATTTTCGTCTTAACGAGGAAGCATTGTGTCGTAAGAAAATAATATAAAAAAAAAAAAAAGAAATGAAAAGAAGAAAAAAAAAAACACAAGCATAAAAAATATGTAGCAAAGAAAAGAAGAAAATATTGGAATTGTAGAAGATATATATATATATGTTACAATGTTAATAAAAGTAATTAATAATAATATATAACAATGTTAATAATAATAATTAATATTATTATAACAACGTTAAATATATATATATATATATATACATGAAGGTTGAATCCAAGTTCGTCGCACGGTTATATATATATATATATTATATATAATAATGTGACGAAGTTGGGTGGTACTCTAAAGTAAGAAAAGAAAACTTCTAGTAGCGCGTTTTGTGAAAATAAAAAATAAAAAAAGAACCAACTAAAAATGTAGCAAATAAATAAGGTAAAACAAAGGAATATACCTTTTCGACAAATGTAGTCGCCAGGTGAGAAAAGTACCGGTCGCAGTCTGAGTACCAACTCGCATAGAAAACCAGCTTCCGTGTTCTGAAATATTTCTACCCTTCTGAGGGTTTCCAAATGCACGTTTATAGCTATCTCGGCCTTCAGCTTGTCTGCAAATGAAAAATAGCAACAACAAAAAAAAAAAAAGAAAACTCGTATATAATATTATATACGAGTTTCTTTTTTTTTTTCATTGGATTAAACTTTCTCGACGTATAAAATGTAATAATAATAATAATAATAATAAAAAGAAAACTTTCTCGATCGCAACGTTTCGGATTTATCGCGTCACCGTAAAAACGAATAGAATTTATATTTATTTATTTATTTATTTATTTATTATTATTATTATTATTTATTTCTTTTTGCTCCCTTATTAATATTTCATTCGTTTACTTTCGTAATATTGGTACCGTATTATTATCGCTCGAAACTTTCGGGAATCTACATTTCATGGAAACGTTATTGCATCGAGAAATGCATCTAGTTCGCGGAACGAAACGATTCCCTTAATACCCCCACCCCAGCCCCACTTCACCTCTAACCCTCCTTTCCTATTCCTTCGTTAAGTTTTCTATAACGCTCAATGCTATTTCCTTTTAACGTTGGATTATTGAGAATGACGTTTAACTTTGACGATAAAAATAATAATTTACTACAGTGAATTTCATTTACCGTTTTTTCGCCAACGTTACCATTTTTATGCGACTACTCATTCAAGTGTAATATAATATCGCGTATATTTGAGGATTTTTAAAGTTAACGTGAACGTTAAATGATTATTTTTTTGTTTTTATATCGTGAATAGAGTCACAGAATTATTATTATTATTCCCCTTCACCTGGTTATTTTAATTCTAAATTTAATTTTTTTCCAGTAAATTATCCAATTGGTATTCGTTTTATTTGCAAGAGAACGTTTTATCGTTAACGTGAAAGAATTTAGACATTAATTTTGCATTGTTTTTTTTATAGCAAATATTAATTCATGTTGTACATTTGTATATCTGGTAAAATATATAATAATCGTTAACGTTAGATTTGTCAGATAATTTGCAAACACTTATTGTATGAAATTATTGTTAACGAAGTTTCTCTTACGAATCAATAATAAAACATAATGTAGAACCTTTGGGAAAAGATAACAAACAATAATTAAAATATATTCGATTGTAAACATTTAAGTTTCAATTGAAACTCTCTAAAATATTATATTCGCAAATGTGTATGCACATATAAATGAGAGTTGAGTTGGGAAAAAGCATAGATAGATAGATAGATAGATAKATAGATGGAAAACGTCATGCAGAATATCTAAATCGATTGTTTATTTTAGTATGCAACATCGTCACGGTGTTTCTATCTCAACAACGTTTTCCACCATCTGTCATTTCACGTAGATACTTATTTTTTTGTTATCCAACAATAAAACTAAGTTCCATTCTATTTTATTCGTTCGTATGTGTGCGTGCGTGTGTTTTAGAGAAAGAGTAAGAGAAAATGTTTCTCTTCACTTACGTTTAATATTTTCATGCAGCTTAAATAAATTCAAACTGGCAGCCATTCGAAATTAACTATGGTCAAGATACACCATTACCGTCTGTATATATGTATATGTATGAACATATGAAATAATATAATATGCGAGTTGTATATTTTAAGGTACTTGCCTAAGATGATAATATATATATATATATAAATTTAATAATAACTTTAGAGAAATTTTTTTTAAATATTTAAATATTAAATATATAGATACGAAAATATATATTAAATATAAAGTATGTTTATTTAGTTAAACTAAATCACAGAAATTATCTTATAATGATTATATTATATCTATCGTATATCATTGAAATATTTTTCAAGTAATTGTAATATTTCTATTATAACCTCTCATGTTTTTACAATCACATACACAGGTACGCACACACGTTCAAATAAACATCTAATAAACTTACACACGATGTATTATATTTAATTAAAAATGAATATTGAAATAAAATACAATTAGTAGAAAAATATAATTGGCACGTTAACACTTATCTTGAAATATTTGTTAAAACCAATAAAATGATTTATTAATATCGATTATATTCCGCACGTTTAATATTTATTTTACAGCACGAACATAACGCAATTGTTCCAAACATTTAATGCAATTTTATTGTTTTTAAATTCGAATGAAATAACACGAGGAAAAATAAAATGAAAAGGTAGTATATAGGTGTAGGAAAGTTCTTTGGAAGAAAACTATACTTTATGGATAAATATTTTTGTCTGACTTACCAGGAAGACAGCTGACAGCTTTCTCCTCGTCGGAACATTTTTGCGTCAACCAAAGATAATCGAACCATTTGATAACTTTAACTTGTAGATGATTGGGTACACGTCTCATTCTCATGTACGTTTTAACGCCGTCCAACTTTGCTGAAATGAAAAACGGAAACAAAATATATATAATATATCGTATCGAATGATCGCGGATGAAAAAACATTAATTATTTTTCTTTTTTTTTTTTTTTATCAATGATAGAAATATTCGTACGAAATATTTGATAAAGGATAATGCGCATCAATTTATCCGGGTATTTAATAATAATAATAATAATAATAATAATACTTACGATTACACATATATATGTCATATATTTTATGGGAACCATTGGATTATTATAAATATCATAAAAGTTAATCATTTTGGTAGGGGCAGGGGGATCGATAAAACCTTCAAATCTTTTATTATGCCTAAATAATTCGAAATATGATATATATCTTATTATTCCATAATGATAAATAACTCATTAGGATAAATATCCATTAAAGAATAAGTTTTAATTTAATTCCATTTTATTACTCGAATAATATATTGAAACAGAAATAATTACTTACTAACTTGTGGATTACTCCAATAGATTATTATTATTTTTTTAATTATATTTCATTCAAAAGAGAAAGATATATATTAGTTTTATTAAAAGTAATAATCACTCAGTATTAATGTAAATGAGAGAATTAACACCGAATTGCATTTACTATTTAAAAAAAAAAAACAAAAATTCCGATAGATTACGATGAAACAACTGCAGTTTGTCTTTTATATTCTCTCTCTCTCTCTCTCTCTCTCTCTATATATATATATATATATTTTTTTTCCTTTCAATTATTTTTGCAAGCAAAAATAAACAAAAGGGAAAAAAAGAAAAATAGGAAAAAATATCTACATGTAATGACAATACCGCGATATTGTGGTATATCGAGCGTACGATCGTTGTACGGGTCACGGCTCGATCACAATGCAATGAAACGGAAAAGCAAGATACGGTTACCCTTCTATACGAATTTATCGGTTTCGTTTATTGTTACGAGAGAGAGAGAGAGAGAGAGAGAGAGAGAGAGAGAGAGAGAGAGAGAAAAAGGAAGAAAAAGAAATTACAAAAACGGATATCCTGTGAACGAAAAAGATTATTTTTGAAGAATCATGAAAGAAAATGTGTTGAATGTATAATCAGTGAGTCGAAGAAATAAATCTAAAAAAAAAAAAAGAAAAAAAGAAGAAGAATATATAAGAATAATAATTCAAACTATTCTTAAAGATTGGCAGGATCCATTTAAATGAGGTAAAAATCAATAGTTAGACTTCATTTATGTCCGTTTCCGCATAGAGGAAAGAAATACGTTGAAATTCGTTGGACTATAAGTGAAATCAAATTTCAATTCCGGGAATCAACGAAATACGTGCTTTGTTTGTAATGTATAATGATATATGTATGTATGTATGAGTTCTTTGGGTGAGTAGTTATTCATTGTGTACACAGAGTATATATATATATATATTGTCATTGTTAGAAGATGTGGTTTGTTCGGGATTGTGATCGATCAACGATCGTACTAACACAATTCTATCTTTTGAAGCTTTACCGGAGTATATACGAACGTTTTAAGACACCCAGGATAGATGGATGAATGGTTTGGTTGGTTGGATGGATGGTTGGATGGATGGAAGGATGGATGGATGGATTGAGTTCGGTTATTCGGATTAAATTTCTCTTTCTCTGTCTGTGTGACGTTAACAATTCGTAGATAAAAAGAACAAAAATAATAAAGAAACAATTTATATAAAGAAAGTAATTACAAAATGAAACGTTGAGGTGCATTTTGTATACAAAAGGTGTATTTTACAAAATATTATTAATAAAGTACCGTGTGGAATATGAGAAAGAAATAGGAATGGGGGAAAAACCCTGAAGCAATCTGTGATGAATAATTTATATATAATACACATATATATATATATTCAGGTAAAATGTATTATGCTTTACCGAGATTTCAAGAACAAATGATTTGAAAGAAAACAAAGTAATTTATTTTACAAATGAGAATATTAATTAATTGCGAATATAGTTTTTATATATAACCCATACAATTATATATATATATTTATAATATATAATTATCGAACTGTATAAATAAAATATGATAAGATTGTGTCAAAAACAAGTGCGCATGGATAATCAATTAACAAATATATCTGACGGAGAGATAATGGCAATGACATTAGCGAGGATTGATTTTAATATTATAGTTGGATAAAATAATTGACTTTTCAAGATTTTTCCTCGATAACATGTATTCATTGTTCATAATCATAGGGAAAAGTTTTGAAGATAATTTATTAACGATCTCGTTCGCGAGAGTTTAATAAAAAGAAGATCGAAATAATGGGAAAGTTGAGGTGACTGACCTGGAGTTGGGGGATGGGGATGGGGGGGGTTTCCAGGAAGATATAATCTTGAGCTTAATCCACTCACAGTTGTAAAGGTAAAAGGAAATTGATAGAAGAAGAATCGGATGTCGGGTACGGAAATCGAAGAAAGGTAGAGAAGAAGGTTTCCTAGTAACGATGACTAAAAATAAATGAAAACATTTCTATGGTGATTCTTCTCGTTACGATTGTATTATATATATATATATATATCTATCTCGAATCGTTCGATAAAACGGACTTAAATATTAAAAAGATGAACGTACGATAAATGTAAAAAGATTAGATTAATTTTCCATAAACCTAAAAGGTGTCGTTTTTCAATGATCTCGATTCGTCAAGCTCGTTTGAAAGCTTCGAGTAAAATAGAAAATGGTGGAAAACCGATACCAACCAACCAATCAACCCTGCTATTCTGCTGTTAGATACGTACGATTAATTTCAGATTAATTTCCTGACAGACAATAGTTTTTCAACGATGAGAGACGTTAAAGTATCGCGTGACCGTTCCCTTTCAATTTTCTTAATGGCTTTCAACCAAATATAATTACTTAATATCTATAGAAAACTTATGTGTGTACTTTCATATATAAATTTTTCTTAATAAGGTATTATATATGGAATATCAATTATTAATAAAATAATAAACTCTAGGGAATAATCAAAGATCATGTGTCCTTGGTTGAACGCGTGGAAAAGGATAGATAATTTGTTTCACGATTTAATTATGAATAATTGATAATGTTCATTGAAAATGTATCATCGGTTCGACTTAAGTTTAACTAAAAACAATTTCAAACGAATTAGTAAAGAAATTTTCTTTTCAATCAAATATTATTATTATTATTATTATTATTATTATTAATGTATTAAACGTACCGAGCTTCATCTATAGTAATTGTTACCATAACGGATCAAATTACCTATCTTCGAAAAGTCATATATATTTTACGATATATATGTATAGCAAAAAATAATACCATTTATACAATAAGAATTTTTTGACTCGCCAAATAGCACAATAACTTGTACAAAATTTCTTCCCAAAAAATTAACAATCGGTTATTTGACCGGTCATCGTACATTTAGTATTAATCGAAGTACAACGAACACGACATTTATAAAATTAATATAAATTAAATTTATACGTTTATATATAAAATATAAATTTCTTTTTAAATTATCATTATATATATAATCTCCTCGTTATTTCTCTTAAATTCATAAAATCGTGGAATTATTTTGCCAACAACAACAACAACAACAACAACAAAAAAGGTAGGATAAATTTATCGTTTCTCGTAATAAAATACAATGTTAATATGGGAAAAAAGATATTAAATAATAATGGAAAGATAGAAAGCAGATGTTAAAAATGTATCGATCTGAAAAAGGTCCATTTTCTTTCGGTGAGAAAAAGCATTCTAAGGAACAATGATGCTGTTTTCTCTCTCTCTCTCTCTCTCACACACACTCACTCACTCTTTGTTTTTTTTCCCTTTATTTCTTTTTTACGTGCACACTCTTTTCACCTTTTGGGAAAGAAAATGGCCGAGTTAAGGTCGCATCATTCTGATGGTGCTGGTGTTGGTGGTGTTGGTGGTGGTGGTGGGCTACTGCAATGGAAATTACGGTAGGACGGAAAATCTGCATTGGCTGTATGCCAAATACATGAAGGCAACGAACAGGAGCCAACGAATGAAGCCAGCGAATGAACAAACTCCTTTGATCCAACTTTGATCGTTCCTCTCTCTTACCAACGCGTTCTACTCTCTAGTTCTATCTCCTTTCTTTTCTATTTTTTACTTATATATACCACACACCATACCATATAGATTGCTTATTATCAATTCCCACATGAATAAATCAATAGACGACAATGGATGAAACGTATTACGAAATAAATGATATTATAAAGTGTGTGTGTGTGTGCTCGAAAAATATTATTTTGTTTTGTTTTTGTGTGTGTGTAAATATTCTATCTACATATACGCAATTTTCACATCGTATAATATTATTATTTTAGATATTAACAATATTAATTTGTTTATATTATAATGAATATATTTAATCTTAATTTAACAAATGAATACCGTAGAAAATATCTATATATATATATATTTGTATTTGTGAATTGAATAATATTATTAAAATTACTATCCTCTGTAGTATATATTTTTAATTTTTGCTGAACATTTTAGAAACGTTTGATTAATGTTGAAAGATCAAAATATGATCGAATATTGTGTTTTGGAAATTAGCAATAGGAAAGAATCTACTTATACGGAATATTTTCTGAATATTGGAACATAGCCAGGTGCCTTTAAACGTTCTAAATCGGAATCGGTAGAAAGTATTTTCTCGTATTATTATTAATGTCCTACCTTTTTAACGAGATATATTTTTTGAAATTCCATCTACCGATATTCATCAGGATTTTTCTTTTTAATTTAAAAGGTAACGTAAACCGAAGTAAAGAAAAGAACAAAAGGGGAAAAAAGTTTGAATCGTGCCTTAGGCTAATGCACTTTTTCCCTTATTTCCTTATTCTTTTCTATACGCTTATTCGTTGCTAACACATTTCCGATTGAAATTCATCCTAACACCCCGTGAAAACTTTTATTCTAACCGATATCTATAATAGATTTCTACATTTTATTATTAT